AATAGATCATAAGGTTTGTCATTGAGATATCGATTCCCTAATTGTGCGTTTCAAGAAGTGGGGTAGCCTGTCCAACCTCGTGGTGAGTTTTCTCCAGGTCTCCCGGTTTCCTCGCACTGCTAAAGACTCCTATGCCTAAGTGAATTAATGATGGTTCCGAAATGACCTAGTTTGTCTCAACGAATGCTCTCTATTTCTCTCAACCACAAGAGACTAAAATCTATTTATCAAAGTGTCAACGAAATGAGATCATGTCACACTCTTCTGTACCAACCAGACTAATAGGGACGGACATCGGCGCTATGACCTACTCTTATTTCGATTTACAGCTGTCAGGGAATCTTTAAAGTTCTGACAATAGTATATCCGTAGCCACAGTTTTTAATTTCACCCGAACGATTGGGCGCTTTACTTTACCCCCTCCCCCTCCGTCATGCACAGCTAACAATAGGAATCAAGGTAGAGGTAAATTTGTCGTGTTGAACCTGGGACGTCATCATACAACCATGGATTCCCGAAGTCAAAGAACATTCGGCTATTCCATCGCTTTTGCGTGCCTATATATCCTCTGTTTGAAATTCGGGAATGTAAGAAGGGGAAACTTCGGAACTTTGCAAGTACGACACCCATAGCCATGTAATCTTCCCGAATGAATGAGTGACGACATCTAGAAATAGTAAGCATACACTGCCTCGTGTACGATTCTAATCAATACTCATAGATATATTACAAATGAACATCTGTGCAAACACGATATCTAAATATCATTATCAACTGGATTGACCTACATGTCTGGTTATCATATTGGTTTACTACTTGAGTTTATCAGATATTGAATTACAACACAAATATAGCTAATCATATCTTGTGTGCATATCAAATATTGAAATCAACAAAAATATAAGCGCAACTCATTGTCATGTAAGCCTACTAACATGGGATATGAATCACGATAATTTATTCAATTACTTATATATACCTTATGGTCTAAATTTCACGAGTTAGACCACTTGGCCCTCAACCCAATATTAATATAATTTAATAATACCATACCTTTTGAGCTGCAAATGTTTTTAAATGCTACTGCACATCTTCCGTTTTTACCGGTATAATAGTGACGGTATTGTTTCTGTTGCGTAATGTCACGATTTAAACCCAATAAAGTTTTTCAGTGGCTAGCCTTTTAATGTTAATTGCTGACACCGAGATTTGACAGCCACAACATCAATATAACAGAGGCGATCGTTACAAATCGAATACCTATTGAAATAAAGTTATTTACGGTAATCCCTTTTTAAGTTCGTATACAAACACCATTCACTTTACATTGTCGTCCACGTCCTTAAAAATCCGAACTTATGAAGTGAAAGTTGAAAATTGAATACTGCTTCTAAGAATTCGTTTGTTGTAGCCCCTATATGTCGGTCTATAATCTATTGAACACAGCACTGGTATATCCGGCTTCCAATAGTATCGTTTGTTTACAGTACACACACGTTTGATGTGTACTATTATAATAGACCTGTTTGATTTTTGCTTTTCATTTGAATATGAAACACCTGACCCTGTAAGTCACGAAATGACCTTGTCATGTACCGATTTTGTCAGCCGATATCTTCGCTATTATCAAGTAGTTTTATTAGGTATAGCCGTTTGTTTACACTGTAGATAAAAAGCAATATATCTGTCTTATCTGTCTATTTTTAGCAACAACAGTAGTCGCGTGAACTGTCACCTGAGGTGTGACGTCACTAAACCAGGCTTCCCGGTTTGTAGTCTCGTTTGTCCGTATATACATCGAGTTAAGAAAAGATTAAGGCTTCAATTTGTTTTACTTGTAACTTGATAAATAAGATTTATTTCGATTTTTTTCTTTTATAAATGATCTAAATAAATAAATAAATAAATAAAATAATGTTATGATGTTTTTTTTAATATAAATAAATTTCAGATAATGAATCTAAGGTATCTTATCATAATGTTTATATTTTTAGTTGTCAATTATATATATATCATTTTATTATATAAACAAATACTTAATAAATACAAATGTCACTGTGCATTGTCTAGTTATCCCCGGAAAAGTAAAAGTAAGGATTGTGCACGATACAGGGTATCTTATACCCACTTACCCAGTATCCTTCGGCTTCTGAAATCCATGTCCTAGAGGAGGAAACCGGAGAAAAACCACGGGGTTGGACAGGCGACCCACTACTTGTCACGTACAAGAGGGGAAATGAAACCCCGCCACTTGACTAAAGTTAGACCAATTGTCCAACGAAAAGGCTTGCCAACGTCGGCGGTTCTGGGGATAGTGTTCTAGAATATACTAACTACGGAGCACAATCAACAGAAATTCAAAGCAGCGCGATTATATGGATTGTTATTGCGGATATTCAATTAAACATATACATAGAACATACATCCAAAACTTATAAAGTTGTTATAGACTATTTTTCTCTTTCAACATTGTTTTAGTATAAAATTTTAAAAAAGTGTAAATATTCAATTAAGCATTAACAAGATTAGATACACAGAATGTCAGTCTATTGGATGCACACACCCAAACCCTATACAGTTGCTATAATATAGACTATCTTTCTCTTTCGCCCCTTTTATATTACGATTTTTATTCCCGTTTTAGTCTACAATTAAAGAAATGTATATATGATTTTCATGTTCTGCAGGTTTTTGTGACTATTCATGGTTGTAACAGGAAAGGATTTTAGAGTTAAAATCTTTTTAATGGTGATGTATATTATGGCGGTTAGTTATAATATGTTCCCTGTTTGTGTATTCCAGAATTCAGTGGTCAAGCCCATACACGTTTTGGGGAAACCGTTGTATAAGGCCATAGAGAGTTAACATTGAACTATGGTGGTTTTTAGCCTGTTATACTCATAAAGCGGGATAACTGCATTTAAGGATGAGGCGTGTGACTCGTAATTCAATCCACATTGACGTCATTGTTAAATCCGTGGCATATTTTTGAACATTCCTATGATTTGAATCTTTATAATATTAAAATAATTTCATCATTTACCCCTCATTAGTCTCGCCACCGTGTAAAATTCTAATTATATTAAATATATATTAGGTCAAATATTTGTGTTTATAAACAAAATATATATTTGTTTTTGTTTGTTTTTATTTATGATGGTGAGAATTTCGTACATAATTTGTCTATTACATGTTATGTTGATGAAAATAGTCGTTTGCACATTGGTTGTCAGAGTATGTAAACTCCTGATACCTGGGTGAATTATAATACAACTGTGCACTGACACACGCTAATAGATATAAAAAGTATTGTTGGACTTTTTCTGACTTCAACAGACCAGCAATGGGATGCCAAAACTTATGCTACAAATGGCCACTTCCTGGATGGGGTCAAAAGCATGGAGAAAAATCCGCTGTATGGACACGCGTCTTTCCGTCGACGTCCGCCTTCCATGAGCTGGCTTTCCAGGCGCTGATAAAGCCTTCACCCCACCACTCCAACCACAAAGTTTCATACAACAATAATACATGTAAGTGATTTTTATAGGCCCACATTTCAGTGTTTGTATATTATGTTGTCACTCAGACCGTCTGTCTACAAATAGCTTATGGACGCGACAGAGGCTACAGTTTTTACGGGTCCTTTTCGCATTAGTGTGAAGCATTATGGTCATGCGAAGACGCAAACTGTCGATATTCAGCATTCTACGATTTTCCGTTCCAGAGTTACCCCATTTTGCCAAAGACGCTACCATTAGCCCTGTGAACTCGATAAAGGCTAAACGCGAACGCGACCCAACTGCGAACGCGATTACAGCCCACTGCAACGCGCGGAAATTCGCCGCAGTTGAATGAGTACTTCTGTCTTGTCACCTGGCAGTGGCATGGCAAATTCGCCTTAAATCACCTGCCACCGATACGTCACATGTATGACTTTTGACCCCGAACTATGATTAGCCAATTAAAATCGTTCGTGCAAACTGTTCCCAAAAATTCGCCCGGTACACAGTTAAAACAATAGTGTTACTTTACATCTGTACGAGTGGCAACTGAGCTGCCACTTGCAATAGCGTATAAAAGCACTTCATTGAGTGCTATTAATTACACTTATTTGAGGATATGTGAAATCATCTAAAAGTGTAAATGTCCTCTTTATACCGTGAAATTATATCTAACGAAAGTGTAAAATGTTCTTCTAAAAATATAATTAAACACTATTTAGGGTGTACTTATATTCTCTTAAAGTGTAAACAAACGCTATCTAGGGTATAGATATATCTTCTGAAAGTGCAATTCAACACTATTTAAGTTATAGATATATCTTCTGAAAGTGTAATTCAACACTATTTGGGATATTGGTATATCTCCTGAAAGTGCAATCTAACACTATTTAGGATATTAGTATATCTTCTGAAGGTGTAAATCAACACTATTTAGAATATAGCTAAATCTTCTTAAAGTGTAATAAAACACCATATATAGGGTATAGCTATGTCTCCTGAAAGTGCAACTAAACACCATTTAGGATGTAGCTATATCTTCTGAAAGTGCTGTTAAACACTATATGGGCTTAAGCTATATCTGTTGAAAGTGGAATCAAACACTATCTAGAGTACAATTATATCTTCTGGGGTGTAATTAAACACTGTTTACAGTTTAATTTGTCCTCTGAAAGTATAAGTGGGTATTATATAGGGTACACTTTATCTTCTGCAGAGTGTAATTGAACACTAAATAAGGTATCAGTACATCTTCTAGAAGTGTAATTGAAACACCGCCCTGGGGTATACCACACACTTGTTTGGGTGGCAACTGAACTGCCACTTGCTCTGGTGTACTTAAACACTTTACTTGGTGCATATGCATGCTTACAGTGTGTCAGATACTTTTTCTAAACACTACTGAGAGGATCTGAGTAAAGAGCAAAAATAACTTTAAATTGAAATGAACTATACTTTATTAACAGTCTTTTTTTATGTACACACATCTATGGCTGATAAATCAATACCTCATGGGGAGAGTGAAGTTCTACCATTTATTCTCTATGTAATGATTTCAATAAATATTTAATAAGGAATAAAGAGTAATACCACTGGACACCACTCTTTCACCTCAGATACCCCAAATCTGTTTTCATATCCATTATGAATGGTATGCAACCAGTTATGGGACAAATATGTTAGCAATAAAAGTCTGACATAAACAGTAATTGTGATAAAAAGGTGAGTGTACCCAATAGTGTCAATTAACATGTGTAGTAAAAACTCATAATAAATCAAATTATCATTAATAATCAAATTAAAAGATTAATGGACATACCAATTGTTTACATTTTACTTATTTGTACAAGAAAAAAGATTGGTTGCCAGACAACGAAACATGCCCACAACAACTATGTCGTCCAAGTATTCCAAAAAAGTTGTCACATATTAATTATTTTGTAGGTAAAAATGGGAGCCTTACAAGAAACTAAAAACTATCAAGATCAACAACCAATGAAGTAATTATTAAAATCTGGTTGGCCTCTAGTTCTCCCTAAAGCTAACATTTATTATACAAAACATGAACTAGCCTTTCGATCCGGTAATATGCCACCTGTTATTACGTACAGGTGTGATCTATAGTTATATTATTATGTACAGGTGTAATTATTTGATGAAACAGTGATTAATCAGCTTCTTAGGGAATAGTTTTTTTTATTATTTTTAATTAACTGAAAAAATATAATATCGCTGTAGGTTATTGATATACCACCAACATTTCAAGTTTATTGGAACAGGTATCTTAAGTAGTATTATGCTAAATTTGGCATTGTCGCTTTCTACAACCGATACCTTGAAACATTATCATGGACTGCAACAGTTCAAAATGTTCCCAAAGAACTGCGTTTCGGGAAAATAAGTTAATTTCGATCTCAAAAGAGCTATTTTCGGACATTCATCAGACATTCTCCAGGAAACCATTCACTATTTGGCCGACATTCATAAATCATTTTTATGTTCTTTAAGTTTAAATTTATCTTCAGAATGTAGTATATATTCTTCAATTATGTTATTATGGTACGTACCATTCAGCAACCGAATATGGCGTCATAAAAAAAACCAAACCGAGGATGGCGTCATAACAAAACTCGATGCGCGAGAATAACCATCAAAATACTTTATAAAGTTTTAATTTACAGGAAAAGATACTATAAATAGTTATACATTGTATAGTCATTTGGCTTTGTTCTTACCAACCGTCGAATGTAATTGACTATTTCGTTGTTGGATTAAATTCCACGTAATGTTAAAAGTTGTTTCAGAAACTGTGACGGCCAACAGTGGACATTCGGCTCCTTTATCTTGCAAACACTGCAAACCGTCCATCCTAGGTAGTAAGTTAAGATGGCCAGAAGCTCGTATTATGTTCACGTTACCAACTTCTAACGGTAACATTCCATACAGATACACGTCATCAATCCAGAAAAATGGCACGGTGAAGGAAGCCTGATAAAGTTTTGAGATCATATCACTGCTAATTATAACAACAAACCCGTAACAATAACGAAACGGATAGCGCTTGTAGCCCCTGAATTTGTACTCCGGTACCGACCACTTTCCGGTACGACGCACGTGACCTTTGACTCCACCTCCACAATACAGAGTCCTTGTGAGATCTCTAGAACTAAAATGACCCAGAAAACGCCACATATCAAAAGCTACGTCATCATCCATTTTGATGACATATTTCACATTCCGACAGAAGTTTGATACCCAGTGTAACCCCATGACGCCTTTATACGTTAAGTTCTTATAGTCATCCATAAACGCACCTTGCACCGTGTCGCCATATGTTCTATGTTCTTTTAGAATCAGATTCTGCGTTTCTTGTTGCTTGACACGACCTAACAAAAACACGACACGCACCTTAACTGGTAGGTACAGCTTCCGGGATCCAAAACTGGACCGAATGTTTTGTCGCCTGATAAAATGATCAGGTGATGTATGGACTAAGATAACTACCATTATCCGAGTCATTTCTGGACAGATTGAAACATTATTTAATATGTAGTCACCTGAAAATATCGGATTTTTTGGCAACCTCTTATCAATAAGTGAAATGCTTAGATTCTTGGAAAGCTTTGGTTGAGAAGCAGGCCTACTTAGATTTTTGGAAAACTTCATACCAGACGATGAAATGTTTGCATTTCGGGGTATATTAATTTTAGACGGAGAAAAATGTAGAGTGTTTAGGGATAACTTCGTTTTGGGGGATGACGCATTTCGGTAGAATATAGTTAAATTCTTAGATAATTTCGTTTTAGTGGTATTCCTTTGGTAGACTTGGGATGATGCATTTCGGTAGAATTTAGTTAAATTCTTAGATAATTCCGTTTTAGTGGAATTCCTTTGGTAGACTTTAGTTGTAGCATTCTTAGAAGGTAATGTTGAATTGTGATCAAATAACGAATTAGCAGCTTTGGTCAAATATGGTTGATTATTCTGGTACAACTTATTGACCCTACTTTTTGAAAGTTGTGTGTGATTTAGATGCCATAGTATCGAAGCCGCACTTTTCGGAATGCTATAATCTGCTATATTCCAAGATATCTTCCAGTAAACTGTACTTGAATATAATATTATAATACAAATGATAGAAGCGACCTTTAAATATTTCATTACACATCGTGTTGCTTTCCATCTCATGCTCGCTCGTTCAGCTGGAAAAAAAACACATAGCAAAATGAACCTATAAGAACTGGGATATGAGTAAAATGCGAAGATAATAAGAAGGGCGTTAGGGTACAGGATATACATGACTTACAAAAGGTAAACAAAAAGATACATGATGTTTACGTAACTCTTAAATGGCCGCGGTGTTTTAATCTTCTTAAAATCGGAGCCATCCGACGGCCCAGAGAGTTGGCCATTGGCTTGACATGTTAATAAATGTTTGAAGATACATTATGGGAGATAATATAACGAGATGGCAATTCTCGCTATAATAGTTAAAAAACTAGATAGTGTAAAGGTAATTTGCTGAAAATTTCAATAAAATTGATCCACTATGAGCCGAGAAAAAAGCGTGTGAAATATTGGCATAGTCTCGGCTTGATTAGATGTTAAAACGAGATCATGCCGCCTATTGAAGATGGGTGAGATGTAGGATTCTACTTGAAACATTGTACATCGTTTATATGTCACCCAATACGCTCGTTGATATTACTTATGACATAAAGATTTCATTATTAACGCATATGTGGTCTTTAAAATGTACCAACATGGTATGGTTAATATTAGAAACTATTATCCTTTCCCCTCAAATATAAAATAATAACCATAAAATAAAAGACAATTAAAATATTGCAATATAATGTAGACTACTTTTAAGAACAACTTACATTTATTACGGGTGTTGGTATATACAGTGTGAGCGAATGAAGAGAGACAGGGCTTACTCTCGTATATAGCCTACCCTAAAGGGCCGTTTATACTGAGCGCGAACGCGAGCACGACCGCGAAGTGGGACCTCTGCGATTTTCCGCTCGAATCATCGTTCGTACTGAAATCGACGATACGCATGGAATTTCGCAGATGAAAGTGCCGCATTTATGATTTGAACATCTTCGGTTATACGTCATCATATATTTGTCCATATCATTTTCTTCCTATCAACACCTTTGAAGACCCTGCGACTTTTATCGTACAAAACAGGATGCTTATCGATTTGCAGAATGAGCTCTTCTGTCTTGCCACCTGGTATGGCGAAGCCGTCTCAAGTCACCTGCTACATATACGTCACATGTATGACTTTTGAGCTCACACTCTGATTGGCTAATGAAAATAGTCCGCGCGAACTGATCCCAAAAAATCACTCTTCATCCAATCACTGTGGTTTTCCGCTCGAACAAAAATTCCGCCGTCAGTATAAACTACTTCATTGAAATAGCAGTTAGGCAATCAAATGCAGTCGCCGCGGTCGCGTTCGCGCTCAGTTTAAATGCCCCTTTATTGTAGTATTAGGTAGCTTTTAATCTTCTTAAGTTTCTAAATCGAGGTGCGATAAGGCATGTATACACATGTATGACTATAACATCGGAACGTAATGTCTATATACTATAACATCTTAAATAACTTAATAATTAATACAATTTCATCCATTTACAATTGATGTATCCTGATGTATCTATGATGTATCATGTAGGAGCTATTTGCATAAATCTGGTCTGCCCTCTGTTTGTCCCCCCCCCCCTCCCCAATGATTTTAGAAAATAAAAAAAAAAGTATTTGTGATACGTTTCGGTAATCAATACCTTGTACGGTGATTAAATCCCACATCCCCACTCAGTCATAGACTTGCATGTTATAGAGTCTGCGTGATTTCTAACCAATCTGGTCAGATTTTTTTTTATCTAGACCATCGGTACCTGACTGAATACTGAATTTTTCCAAATTTTCTGGAGGAGGTCCCCCATACCCTGTGTAAGGACTTCCTTCTTTGGCGCTCGTGAGTGGGCTTCGTCGAGGTTAGCAAGCTCGTTCGTTTGACACTTTACCTCAACGATCAGTGCCTAAAATACTGCCAGGTTGCATTTCCGGCAGCCTGTTTTTCAAAATTTTCCCCTATTTAAAGCTCGTGCTTTTCCCCCTTAACCTTGGACTTTGCCCCAGTCTCACCCCTGCAACCACCGACGGCTGGCGCCGCCACTGTATGCCCACCGTATCTGCTTTAAACGCTAACATGGCGCCGATAAAATGCCTGACAATTGAGACTTCGTTTATTGTCATGGCAATGGTGTTTGACAAACTACAATATGACCAGTGAGCTAAATTTCATTCTACCAGTGGCTATTTCCTGTGTGAATTTCCATATCTATCTTCTCCGCAGGCATCAACATGTTTTGGGGCTTAGCCAATATTCTTGATATAGTTTTATATGACTTTGTATAATTTTATATGACTTGGTATGATTTTATATGACTTGGTATGATTTTATATGACTTAGTATAGTTTAATACGACTACATATACTTCAATATGACTTGGTATAGTTTTATATGACATGTTATGTTATAGTTTAATATGAAAATGAATACTTACACACATCCGACTAAATACTGTTTGTATATCTGTTGTATTATATCGATTATGTAGACTGATCCACACTCTTGGATGTAAGTGCCTACACAATATTTTACTCTACATGTAACATTAGTTTTGCATAAGTCTAAAGTTAATAGAAATTTTATACTGTAGAAAAAACGATCTCAAATTCCGTTTTTTTGTTGAGAAAGTCAGCCATGGGGAACATATTGCAGCAGTTGTTGTCAACCTTTTACGTTTTCCTAATTTTAAAAGTACATGAATAGGTTTTAGAAATTACACGAACAGAAGTTAAAAATTTCGCAAATAGAAGTTAGAAATTAGACGATAGCACGTTAGAATTTTGAATCTAATATACCTGCATACTTATGGTCCGTACATTCACCATTTTGATATTTTTGATCGTAAACTAAACCCGTTCTGCATGGCTGAATTTTTATTGAACACGCATGAAGGCCTTTCTTACAGCTTCGTATGATATAGTGATTTTTAGGGTTTCACACTGCGTAGCTTGTGTGAAACACTATTGTTTTTGTTAAAATTATTCTTATTATTATTAGGGTTTCACACTGCGTAGCTTGTGTGAAACACTATTGTTTTTGTTAAAATTATTCTTATTATTATTCTTCTTATTATTATTTTTTTTTCCAATTTGATTGTATCTCAGAAACTACTTGTCGGATTGATTCGATGTCTTCGGTTTTACTGGAAAAGTGGGTGTGACTTAGAGATTAAAGCTATTTCGAACGTTCTGCGACAATGCGAAATGTCCGAAATCGTCGAATTTGTCGATTTTTGAAATATTGCCGTAATATTAACAATAATCGTCGGATTTTAACATTGGATACATTTTGACATAGCCAGAGACAAGGCACATAGCCACGGTTCTTTAGATTTTTGATTTTCCACGAATCGTCGGAGATATTAGGCGCCAAATTTTGAAAATTTAAATTTTTACAAAAAACTTTTTTATTCATGAATATTTTAATGTGGTATTTTACCCAGGGTTAAAGAGTCATCTGATTTGACCAAAAATGGCACCATTTTTTGTCATCGTAAATTTCCTTGACCCCCATTGGCTAATTCAGTTTTTCAGTCCTGGATTAATTATTTATTGCTCGATTTGTATAAAACAAAGTTCATATGCTCCGTAATCCAAAATGTCATTTTTTTTGTTACCGGTAAAGTTACCTTTCGGCAACGGAAGTGACGTAAATTTAGCAAAAACTACAATTTTGACAGTTCGGTACCACTTTTTGAAAGCAAATAATATTTTTTTCAAATCTGGTATGACTGAAAGTGTGTGCCCTGTAAAGGCGCAGAAAACATCGGGCTCAGTTTTTTTAATTTCGATTTCGTTTTCGGGTCATTTTGATTTAAAGGTGAAAAAGGTGAAAAAATGAGCTATTTACAACCCATTCAGGCTTTTCATATTTTAAAATATTTCTTCGCAACTTTCATAAACTTGTAGCATTAATCCATACGAAGAGAATCTATCTCAAAATTAGTTTGTAATATGAGCAGTTGCCGAGAAATGGTCAATTTTGCATGAGTCACTCTTTACGCTATTGTGTCTGTAAAAGAGTCAATTATTATTGGATTTTCATAAAAGTGACACCATTTGATGCATAATGTCAATTGTGACTAGTTCAACTCAATTTAACATTTTCCATGTCACCGGAAATGACGAAATTTGGGTAAAAACTGTATTTATAGCCTTAGAAACAAATAATTTATTGAAATGAGTCGTATTTGTTGTTTGTTTAATATTTTGATATTTGATTCTAATCAACTAATAGAATGAACCCATACGATCATATAGGTATCACAAAATGGTTTCTAACTTGTTCAGTTGTAGAGAAATAGGTAATTTTCAACAGGTCACTTTTCAAGGTTTTTTGTCCATAAAAGTGTCAATTATTATTCGATTTTCATGAAATTTTCACTATGTGATACCTAATGCCATTTACGATTTCATACAAGTAATTTAAGATTTTCATTATCACCGGAAGTAACGTCATTTTGGCAAAAACTGTATTTTTAGCTTTCAAAACAGATATTTTATTCAAATGAGTCTGAGTAGTTATGTTTTTAAAATTATGATATTTGATTCCAATCAACAAATAGAATAAACCCATACGATCATACAGATTCCAGAAAATGGTTTCTAACTTGTATGGTTGCAGAGGAATTGACGGTTTTCTACAAGTCACTTTTTAAGGTTTTTGGTCTATAAAAGTGGCAATTATTATTCGATTTACATAAAATTTTCACCATGTGATGCCTTATGCCATTTCTGATTTCATAAAACTAATTGAACATTTTCATTATCACCGGAAGTACTGTACACTTACATGTAACAAATATATAAAATGAATTGATATTGCTGGATTTGGTTGATTCGGCGTCCATTTTATTTGATGTGTGCAATGATGAGGTGGAAACCTGTTTAATGCGTTCATTGGTACCGGAAGTGACATATGTTTAGGGTAACGTGGCACCGGTGAAACCCGTCATTACTGCATCGCAGTTCTAGTTAGATATGTAATTTGAAAGAAATGTTAACAGATAATTAAACCTTGCTCCACTTGCCGTAACAACCCCTTTGACTCATAAATCTATTATTGTCACATAAACCTGAGAAAACATATTCGTCAGTTTGTAGCCCTAGAGAAATGGAATAGGGTTTTAAGTTTCTTTAAAATACTACATCTGTGAATTTGCGACCGTCGTATTATGGTATTGTCGCTTACTTTGGTTCATATTCCAACCACAAAGGTTTTTCTCCAGTTCAAACGACTCATAAATGTCGGTCTCACAAATGTTATCCCCAACAACAGCAAAGCTAACTTGGAATATTATTTGGATTTTTCTCAACACAATCCTTTTGTCATTTTGAGAGGAGAGAAATCTGATGGGGGCAACGGCGTTTCCGCCTATCCTACTTCCAATACCAACTGCCATGTTAGAGACATTGGACAATATCTGTGGCTGTTTGTATAAAAAACTTTATCTAATAAACAACAACAATAACATGACAAACATATCAACAAACTATGTATTTCTCTAAATTTATATCTAATTAATTATCGCAATTAACTCAACTCCAGATATAGAGGATACACCGAAAGGTATCAATTATTGGTCGAAGCTTTTATAATCATTATTATTATTATCCAGACCTTATCTTATATTACTTTTACTATACAGAATGTAATGGACATAATTATGATCCAATTTTCATCACTACCGTGACGGGTAGCCTGGAACATACAGACTATATTATAGACTAAGGATTTCGCTACTTTACAACATCATGCCTTTTCAATGGAAGCAACTTTCACCAGTAAGAGTTGAATGTAAGAATCAGCATACGTATTTTAATGAAATAGCTTCATCATCTGGAAAGAAAAAAATCATACACACAACAACAAAAGTACCGTAATTTTATGGTCGACAAAACAGAGAATATAGGAAAATATCAAGCAATTACGGAGCCCCTTAAGTGCACGATTCCACTCTTAAATATAATTATTTCGTTTAAGCGAAATATTAATTCGTTTAAATGAAATACCAATTCGTTATAACAAAATATTAATTTGTTTAAACAAATATTAAATCGTTTCTACGAAAATTAATTCTTTATAACGAAATATACATGATCCCCATTACAAAAATCTTGTGCACCCTATCGATTTTCATTGTTCCGTGGCAACAATTCGTTTAAATGAAATACCAATTCGTTATAACAAAATATTAATTTGTTTAAACAAATATTAAATCGTTTCTACGAAAATTAGTTCTTTATAACGAAATATACATGATCCCCATTACAAAAATCTTGTGCACCCTATCGATTTTCATTGTTCCGTGGCCTGCAGTTCCAGCGAAAGGGGGTTGGGTGGTCTAGTGGTGTGCGTGAAACCATGAGGTCTGTCACTGAGTCAAGTTTCATTGACCACTTTTACGTGACAAGGAGTAGGGTCGCCTGTCCAACCTCGTAGGTTTTCTCCGGGTCCACGTGTTTCCTCCTATTGCTAAATACCCCTACGCGCAAGCGAATTATTGAAATAAAATTGAACCACGTGTTAGTCCCGAAATGACCTAGTTTGTGTTGCAGTTCAAGGGTTATCGCCTCAATCCGAAATAGTATTTCGTTTAAACGAATTAATATTTCGATTAAACGAAATAATCATATAGGAGTAGAATCATGCACGACAAAATTACATAAGAGTGAAATTGTGCACTTACGGTGCTCCTTTGGTAATTACTCGATCTGTTGAATTGTAAAAATATAACCAAGCCAATATAGACAAAATAACAAAAGCTATAATAATAACGAGCTCCCGTTTCTGAGCGATAATTTTTCGGTCGATATATTTACAGATAAAGGGCATATAGTTTTCATGAAACTGTTGTTAGTTAAACTGAAAACATTTTAATATGTGAAGTCAAATGTTTTCTATCTCTTAAAACATTTAAAGGGAGGGCTAAAACAATTGAGCTATTAACTCATTTGAACAATATATACATATGATTTCGACATTCGGATAAATGGACATATTCCCCTCATATTTAATGATAGACTTATTATTGATGTTGTCGTCGGATAATTCGTACACAGCTGTTAAGTAATACACTGTCAGTGGTTATTAAATAACACACTTCATTAAATTGTCGTATAATCCATTTAGAGTTGTTGAGTTAATTTTGTTATCGGGGGTATTGTTGTTGATTCACAGCTGTTGTTAAATATTTATTAAAGTTGCTCAGTAATATACTTTCAGCTATTGATGAATAAATAATATAATCATCTCTCTGTTGAATATGTATAGTTGTTATTTAATAAAACATGTGGTTGTTCGTTACTTATAGTTCTTATTTAAAAGTATATACCATTTGCGGAATATTTATAGTTTATAAACCACACTAGTTGTTGAATACTTAGATTTGTTGTTTAATAAAACACAATAGTTGTTGTTTAACAATAAAAAAACCCACATAGTTATTAAAACACAATAAATGGTTGTTGACTATTTATAAATATCCCTTAATAAAAGCACAAATAGTTGAATAATACACTTTCAGCAGAACATATATCAATTCTTTGAATGTACAAAACGGTGGATTCTGATAAAAGTCTCAAATATAAATATATGTCATATTTGAAATATCAATGACAGTTGAAAAATATAATCAATTTACACGTATTACACCCACACGATTATTACATATTTTTTTTAATTATGGTATTAAATACATTATATACAATATATAATAAACATTATATTCAAAGTGTACATAATAATTTATTTTAAACCGTTGACGCATTAAATATCATTTAATGTGTTAATACGTTAAAGCTCCAATTACACATCTAATAATAATACATCTATATTTTTTCGGATTATTTACATGGCCATCAAAGCTAGTATATTTAAACAAACCAACTAGAAGCTTGACTCGGTAGGGCTTTACAAAGTATAACTTAGCAAAATTACTTAGACGAGGCAGTTTCAGATACTAATTCAGTTAGGCTTTTTAATGGATTGGTGATCTATCCAATCCATGAATTCTAATTAGTTTTACGAATTCTAATTAGTTTTACGAATTCTAATTAGTTTTACGAATTCTAATTTGTTTCACGAATTCTAGATAGTTTCACGAAGTCTAATTAGTTTCACGAAGTCTAATTAGTTTCACAAAGTCTAATTAGTTTCAACAATTCTAATTAGTTTCAACAATTCTAATTAGTTCCACGAATTCGAACCAGTTCCATGACTTCGATTAGACACCGGTTAGTCAGTCGATTGGTCAACCAGAGTTAGCCCAGTTTTGGAGTATAATAACAAGATCTATCCAATCCACACGTCGTTTAACCAGATCCATAATACCCTTTAAAAACATAATAATCTGACTGGTCAGATTTCGAGTGAACTAAAGATCTGTACAATCCACGCACTCTTATTAGATCCATAAAACAGTTAAATAATTTGATATTCTGATTGGTAAGGTTGGTAATGGGAGTGAACAGTAAGTACCAGCCCACACACTCTGAAACCATTCATCTGTTTGGTCAATTTTAAGAGAACTGGAGGTCTTTCTAATTCCCATTCGTTCATGAACTTTACGAATTAAGTCTGACATTCTAATAATCTGATTGGTCGGATTGAGAGTGAACCGGCGATCTGTCCAATCCGCGCATTCTAATAAGATCCATATGTCTATATGGCGATTTTCTGTCCCAAGATGTAGTAGTTCTTTCATCTGAAATATAGAAACAAATATATAAATAATTCAGAGATTAAGGTATGCTTTATGTTTATCCCCCCCCCCCCCCCCGCAATAATTCCCGAAAGAAAACCAGTAATCCTATTGGTGATTTTGGAGTACTCAGAGCATCTGCCAACCATTTTTTATAATACTTATATTTTACCAGAGTATAGCCATATAAATAAATAGGATGTCAGAGTTTTAAAGATGATATGGGTTGTCATTGAGGACCAGATCCCAGTTACGTCTAAGTGATAGGTATGAGGACAGTAACGTGATTTAAGTCAACTCGTGATTACCATTTATATGATATAATTTGAACGTAGCATTACTTACCAATAAAAGTATTTTTGGTTTCCATGGTGAATGAATTCATGAATGATTTCCTGAATCTATAAGCACGCCTCTTGACATTACCCAAAAAAGGAGCGGTAGAGATAGTATAGAGGACGGGGTTAATAGCGGAATTTAATGGTAGAACAAACACAGCTACCCAGGCGTAGACCTGAAATGGAATGGAAATATAACATAAGTTTTGTCATAATATATTCATTTTAGTTCTATTTTTATTGGCGATGTGGCTCAGTGAATATGACGCTTGCTCACTATCCAAGAGGTCGAGGTCCACAGTTCCATTCTGGTGTTGACCGAGAAAGTTCCTCAGGATTTTCCATCCTGGTTTCCACTCGTCAATGGTGCTAGGCGGAGGGCCGATAAGGAAAAGTGTTTAGTCGGTAGTATGGGAAGGAGGACACGAGTCATTCCGAGTACTCGTTGGCGTGCACATGAAAGGCCCGTTGACAGTTGGAATCAAATGAAGTGTAGGCGATCAATTTCCATCATAGCACACATTCATTAGCGGTGGTTTAGTGAGTAAGGCGCTGGCTCACTAACTAACAGATCCCAGGTTCGGTCCCAGTGTTGGCCAAAAAAGTTCCTATGGTCTTTTAAGCGTGGTGCCCCCTGTCAGTTATACAGGACGGAGATTCCTGGCAAGGAACAGTGTCTAGTCGTTCAAATGGAACGAAAAACTGAGATCACATGTACACGTCGACAGCAGGTTAAAAATTCCTTGGCGGACATAATTGATTGTAGAGTAGGTAGAAACACCGCTATCCTGTCAAAATGTTCACTCATAGCACACTGCATACCATACGCCTGGTCGGTTTAGAAAATACGTTACATCCCATTTCATCTAAAGATAACTTGCCCACAGCACTTACATAGAAAGAGTGTTACCGCGGTTACGGATCAAACTGAAGGGGTATCTAGGCTATGGTGTAAAATGGATTATATTACGAGCCAATCTGAAATACAGATCTAAATTTCGTTTCGTGTTTTTTTATACTTTCGATGGCCTACACTACATGAAGATCTGGCCACATGTACTGGAAGGTCGCGTCGGGTGTCGTACGAGCGGTTTTTGACCTATGACGTCAGACATTGATTAATTAATCAGCGTTGATGTTTCTAGTGGTTTACCCACAGTTCCGTGCATGGCACGCCAAGAAGTCACCGTAACAGATGGTTTCATTGGTTAATCCCTCACGCCATCCAGAACGCATGTTATATAACAACTCTTCCAGATCTTAGTGTAGTACAGACAAATCAAATTAAATTTTGAACTATAAAAAACGAAACGAAAAAGGATCTGTGTTTTAATCAGATTGATTCTCAGCAGGCGTTATCTAAAATATGTATTTGTTGATGCACAAACAGATCAGCAAATATGAACGTGGTTCAAGAACTAATTGTACTTTACCTGTTTAGGAATACTGGCACCACCAAGTGAAGCATAACCTAATAGAATAATAGGTACCCAGCAGAAGAAGTCGGTCATTACAATCAGAGTCATTCTTCTAGCCATAGCAGCATCAGTCTTTGTCTCCGTGGCGCGAACAGCACTGCGCGTCCTCTTAGCAACAATAAACATCCAAAAATATGACAGAAAAATCACAAGAAACGAAACGAAATTGAGCACTAGGAAGACAGCCACAGAATACTCCCAACCAGGCGGACTGGACGGGGTGATGTGGAACGCGAGACAAACTCCAGATCGGCCATAGAAGTTGGTAAAGTAGTCCAGACCAATTAACGGAATTACGGCCATGATGAAGACCACGAGCCACACACATGCCATAACAAACATGGCCTCCTTTAAACAGAGTCTGCGCATCTTGAGCGGAAATAGAATACAGATGAGACGATCAAGGGTTATAACTGTCAAGGTAAATACTGAGAGTTCACTGGAGAATGTGGAGATGAAACCAGCAAAATGACATAAACTACTCTGCCGCCATGTTTTATCGTATGATATGTAAACACCACGATAGTAGGAATCAACTACAGCTATTATCAACAGATAGACTCCCATGAAAAAATCACCAATAGCCAGATTCGTTATGAGAAACGAATGAACCTGAAATAGAAAAATAATATAAATTACATTAAACAAGACAAGAAAACAAATTCTTGCATGTTGCTGTTGTTATTGGCCAAATTATATAACCCAACAACCATATTGCTCTGTCATGTCAATTTGTTAATGAGCCCTTCCACTAATGAAATAATTCTTTCAATAAAGATTTTACAATCTCCCGAGACGTGTATCAGTGCTGATTCGGTCCAAAATCTTAGCTTTTCACCACTATCGTGCTTAATGACGCCATTTACGACACTACATTTCAATCTGTCGTGTTTGTGAGCCACATGTCATTTAAACAACGGTGCACATTTTGATCCTGTTAAACGAAAGACAATCGGAGCTGTACCGGAGAAATACCATGATTCTATATATTCATACCTTGCCACCGCGTAAATCTCGTGCTCTCCAGCCAATGACCAGTAGATTGCCGAACCCTGCCACCATACCGAGAATCCAGATGGTAATTCTTAGTATATAATTAGACATAAGATTCTGACAGGATGAGAATTCATCGGGTTCGGGATAACACTGATCCACCACCGTAGCTACCAAACAACAAAATCTAAACTCATCCGTATATCTGTAAAAACAGCAACAAAGCATTGTCATGGAAACCAAGATGGTGACTCAAACAACATAGGGGTTCATTAACTGAGAATTAAAGCGTCACATAAAGGATAGCTATGAAACGGTATATCCATACAACCTAAATAATGGTATATCCATACAACATAGCTAACGCGGTATATACGGTAAATCTTGATAACATCATGTTCAGGAAATTAACTTACGTTATATTTCTGAAACCTAGACGATGGTGTAACTTGGAAACTAATTATAATAGAATATTGTAGCACAAATGTGGAACTTCTTCGATTCTGATTGGCTGCAATTTTTCATCTATTGGACAAAAACAATTTCATGAAAATCAAACCTGGATAAAGTTATTATACCACGGAAACCTCGATAAAGTTGTTATACTAAAAAGCTATATACACTGATCTGTCATCTACTTACAGTGTTTTAAGTTTGGGTATACCATGGAAGACATTTTCTTGTATCATATCCACATCATTATGGGAGATATCACTGAAAATATTATTATATAACTCTTAAGCTTAGTATATATTTGATAATGATTAACTGTGCAATCACCGTTCGAGATATTTAAAGAGTGAGAGAGAGAAATGGGGTTTTAACTTCCACTCGACACAAACTAGGTCATTTCGGGACTAACACATGGTTCAATTTTATTTTAATAATTCGCTTGCGCGTAGGGGTCTTTAGTAGTGTGGGGAAACTGGAGGACCCGGAGAAAACCCACGAGGTTGGATAGGCCACCCTACTCCTTGTCACGTACAACCGGGGAATCGAAATCCCGTTAGTTGTATTTGATGTTCTAACAAAAAGTAAACAGAATCTGCATTAATGGGCACTATGTTTAGCTATACAACGGTTGTCTTGATAAGCCGAGATCGAATAGTGTATGACTGATTGAGATAGACTTTAGTTCGCGATGATAAACATTAGCTAACGTTACATGACGTTCACTTCTATTTCTATATATATAACCATCTGGGGACCACGTGGCTAAGTGGGTAAGGCGCTGGCTCGCTAGTCTGGAGGTCGGGTGTTCGATCCCTGCATTGGCCGAGAAAGTTCATCCAGATTTTCCGGCGTGGTTCCCCTTGTCAGTGATGCAGGACGGAGGGCCTGACAAGGACAGCTGTCTAGTCCTTCGAATGAGACGAAAAACCGAGGTCCCGTGTATACATTGGAATGCACGTAAAAGATCCCTTGGCAGTTGGAATTCGATATAAGAGTAGGCGATAGTGCCGCTGCCCGGGCAAAATTTCCCTCATAGCACACTGTATGGCGTATGCCCGTCTTCATTAGCCCAGGTTAGGAGCAGAACAGTAGGACGTTAAACCCCATTTCATTTCATTTCATTTCATATAACCATCTGATGAAGATCTACCTATATGGTTACTACCTTGAATAAAAATATTATTAGTTTAACATTAAGAAACTTACAGTAAATATAGATTCTTGAGCCCATTAAAAGCACCATCGTTTATAAACTGGATATGATTTCTAGATAAATTACTGAAAACATAAAAATAACATTCAATAATGAACCCCAAAAAGAAAGAGAAGAAAAGATACCCACTGATTGGCTTTGATTTTATTAATCATATCAATCATACACATAAGATATCAAAGAAGAAATGAAATGAAGACGGGCATACTCCATACAGTGTGCTATGAGGGGAAATTTTGCCCGGACATCTGCATTACGGCATACTCTTAGATCGAATTCCAACTGTCAAGGGATCTTTTACGTGCACGCCAATGTGTACATGAGACCTCGGTTTTTCGTCCCATTCGAATGACTAGACAGCTGTCTTTGTCAGGCTCTCCGTCCTGCATCACTGACAAGGGAGAACCATCAAAAAAGATTACTGATTAGAACAAATAACATAGGTTGTCAGGTAGCGAAATATACGATCACCACCACCTAAATTTAGTCGTTCAAACAACCAAAAGAAATTTAAAAAAAAAAGATCAGATAGTAATGAAAGTCGCTGAGGCGCTAACATGATTTTGTAGCATTGAGAATAACACTGGATGTTACAATCGAAAAGCATTGGAGGCCAATAAGATTTTTCCTCTCCTGGCAAGAAACAGTGTCGCTGGCGTGTGGGTTGGACGAAAACCCGAGGTCCAGTGTGCAAACAAAATCCCACTTGGAATTTGAAAAAGAAAACCCAGAACAAACCGTAGTGGTGCTGACTAGGCAAAATTTATGCGCGTCTTTATTATCCCGGTTGGACGTTAAGCCAGATTTCATTTTCTTTCGAAACGAAGAATTAATTATATAGATTGTGTTCCACCATTATTCGAAACAAACCATCGGATCAACCCAATTCAATAATTTATATTGATCTTATTCATATAGTTTTAGGTTAACTTACAGATTGAAAACATTCCGTAAACCAACGAATGCATTCTGGGGTAGAATATGAAGATTTTCATTGCTCAAATCACTGAAATATAAACAAAAAGTAAAATATAAATACACACCAATATTACTCATATTGGGTAGGAATTCAGCAAACATCTAAATAACAAAATCAATAAGCTTTAAAATAATTCTTAAATATATGACGTCAAAATCCATGTGACATCATTATTTTCAAGACAGTTATCCGATTTGAACAAAATTGCCATGCACTTAAAGCAAAAATAGAACAAATGGGTAGCAAACCAGCAAACAGACAAATAATATATTTGAAATTTTGAACCCTTCTTTTTTAAATCTAATTTTTGTTCACTTATCCGGATTATCGCTCTTATTGTTAAAATTGTGTGATATTAACAAATGACGTCAACTAGCAAGTAGACTATCGTCACTAAAGAAACGACCACTGTCAAGATACGTCGCATCATTTCTGTTAAATAATTTCTTTTTTTTCTTCATTTTGAGTGAAGCAAAAGAACTCTTGACATAAAGAGTAGGTCCTAATGTCACTGTACGGGCAAAATTTCCCTCATAGCACACGGTATGGCATACGACCTTCTTCATTAGCCCAGTCGGTGCAGAAATGATAAGACGTTAAACCCCATTTCATTTCGTGTCAAACATGTTGCCTGTAAAAAAGAATGATTTAAGATAATTATTTAATTGATAAAACAGTAATTTAAGAATGTTGTAGATATATACTTACAGAAATTTAAGATGTGATAAACCAACAAATGAATCAGGATGTATATACTGTATCTTATTGCCTGTTAGATATCTGTAATAATATATTCACATTAAAATAACAAGACTTTATTGATTTCATTTGATGTTATAGGTTGATTTGTCTTGGCTGACAATTGCACGTCTAGAGACAAAGCCCGTGTTAAGATGTCTACCCAGTTAGCCGCTAAAAATAAAACAAATATAATATGTAACCAAAGTGTTGTAGGAAGGAAAGTCGAATTGAGAGTAGGTGGGAAGCTATATCCTTATGACCCATCATCAATATATGGCAGACTACCAAGCTGGTATTGGAAATGGGATGCTATGATTTACAGACAGCATTAGCTGGGACTTTCGAAAGATGTAAAATATTTAGACGCAAAGGGAGGTAATTTTAATTAATACGCGAACCTCCGACACATTAGACAAAATCTCCACACTCCTCACCTAATATCTTAATTACAATTCAAATTTATAAAACCTCTTTATAGAAGTCGTCGTCGCATACTTACAGTTGTCTTAGATTGGATAATCCAATAAATGTTTCGTTTCTGATTTCAGTTAAATGGTTATTCCGTAAATCTCTGAAATGGAAATAGAACATCTATTAATCAAACAGATGATTCTCCTATATTATTATCACAAACTGGCTGGTTTATAAGAAAGGGACAGCAGAATTATTATTATTTTATTTATATAAGATATGTGAAATCAACAGGAAACAAAGTTCACTTTTTAAATGGTGAAATTAACCGATTTAAATAATTTTTAGATCCAAATACTATTTCATAAAGTACTTTTCAGGAGTGTATATTGCCCGTGCTATATTTATGTACTGTTTGTTCTAGGTCGTATTGTGGAGTATATACTGTATGTGCTCTATTCATGTACAAGTCCATCTTTTATTTCTTTGTAGAACAGTACTTACAATGTGGCTAATCTCCACAGGGACTCGAAACATCTTTTTGGTAAAAAATGCAGATTGTTGTTACTCAGGTCCCTGTGAATAAAAGTTAAAAATATATTTCAAACAATATAGGCTAATCTAAATCTGTAGTCAGTTTAAGTTCAAATTTTCCAGCCGACTGTAACGAGCAAAGTTTCAGCTCTCCAGAAAACAGAAATTGTCCTATCGTAAAGCGGCAATCAAAGTCGGAATAATTTATTGTCATTAGTCATCTTTTTAATAATACTGCTTGTTGAATATGCACTTTAATTTATAAATTTCTAACAGATTAAGTGGCAGTGCTATTCTTGAGTAAAACCCCAATTTATTCAAAGGATTTATAGCTACCAACAGATTGAAAACTCTGATTTTAGTAATAAACTATAACACATACTTATGGTAGAACATAAGCTTGCTTGACATTGCTGATATAATACCCTTTGAAACGCCACCCAAATAAATTAGTAATATTGTTCTTCCATAAGTATGTGTCATAGTGTATTGGTAAGCATACCATGATTGTCGCATGGGTATACTGGGCAGCTACCGGAAACCCAGCGATTTTAGGGGCCATATAATCAATTTGGAAACAGAAATTAAAGTTATTGAGAGGTTGGCGCCCCAGTACATGGCTTTGGAGCCTCAAATATTATCCTAGTCTCTCAGATATACAGCCAGAAGGCGGGGAATATCATAATAGTCTGTAACGTGTCGTCATTATTTACAAACAGGGTTCAAGATATCGAGACTCTTACCAACTCGCATATAGAAATGTAACAGAAATGATTTCCTATCAATATGTAACACATCCCATATATCACTGTTTAATGCCCGAATCTGATCAACATAGCCGTTTTGGTATTGTCGACATTTGGTTCGTGACTCTCAGAAAAAAGACATAATATAGCATTTTTACTTTAATCATAAAACAAGATTTCTATACACAACACCTTACAAAATACATCAGGTTATAAACATACATACAAAGTCTGGTTTAGATAAACCAAATACCACTCTATCTTGATTCGTTACAGTAATTGGTTTCTTGTAGTTACGACCAATAGAACCGAGTTCCCGACGAAGAGATGGTTGTGTCTGAATTACCCATAGGACAGGGTAGCCGAGGGTTTTACACCAATTAGAGCTGGTTAAAAGCATGTGCTGTAGGGGGCTCTATAACCCCGATGCTCCCGACAACTGGCGGACCTCAAGAGTTTAAGTAAAAAGTTATTTTCAATTGTGTATGCTGAATGAAAGTATAAGTAGTCTAAATTATCTATTGTACCAGGAGCGATCGGTGGGTAAAGGTCCTATTACACATCACTGCCCCCTTTGGTGCATACTGGGCCCTAATAAAATCTTAACCAGCCATCAGTGCCGGATTTTGATAAAGAAAGGACCTAGGCTATTCCACTTAAGAGGCGCCTCCCTATTCTCGTGCCCAGAGGAAAAGGAAAATGGGTTGTAAAACACAATTATTGAGCAAAGTTGAGGATGATGACGAATATGACAGTATCCAAAATATTATACATATTGACAGGAGGCCTCCTGGATTTTGAAGCCCTAGGCTTCAGCCTGCCAAGACTAAGGTAAATCCGGTACTATAGATTCATAATCCAACCTGATAACTGATAGGACGGAGGTGACGACATTGAGAGACACTGGGTACGAAATATAAAACAAACTATACTTACAAGTAAGTGAGTCTTGGAAAATCTTTAAAGGTATCTTGAGATATAGAAGCGTTCATGTTATTACCAGATAGACGACTGAAATATCAACAAATAAAAAGAACTTGGATCAAACTGCTTTAAAGGAAATGGCGTAGTTATACCGTCAAAACATTCCTCGGCCATTTTGAAACTATACTGTAACATATCGATTCCTCATTGGTGGATATATATTGCCCGTTTCTAAGATCTCTGTACAGTAGTAACCCGTATGAGTAATCCTGTTGTATAGAAATGCATGCTTTTAATTTCTAGATATAATTGTACGTAATAGTGCTTGTCCATTTTTATTTCTTCAAATAGTCAACATGGCCAATATTTAAGGGTCTGAGACTTTTGTCCGGACACTGGCTATTTCTTTATACTGTTCTTTATCATTGAATTCCAATAATCAAGGGTTATTTTACAAGCTAATATACTGCAGTACACATAAAAATATAAACCTACTAGAAGAATGCCCGACTTCGCTCGGGGGTCATAACCCCGAAACCGGAAGTGGTAGACTAACGCACCTGGCCTATGTTACTCCCCGGTCCGAGCTACCCCTATACCCCAAATTTCAGACTCGAGGCAGACCTAGTGTAGCCGCCAACCCCGAACAGACAGACAAACAAACTTCACAAATATTAGAATAGATTAATACATGGGTCCAGTTAAAGACGATGTGCATTTCAATGATTAGAATAAGTTGTCTTGTCAGCACCACACACAATAGGTAAAGACTTGAAATATCTTGATGGCATTTAGACCCACACCTAGTTTCGCATATATTTTTCATAAATTATTTTACACCCCAGTTTGAATTCCTTTTACATCACTTATCGTATTTGTAACACTTTGATGCCGAATTAATGTGTGAGTTAGAGCTCGATACTATGAGCAACTGCCATATGGTATGGACGAAATCAATACCGGTACGAAAGTTTGCAAATATATTCTTTTTTTTACCACACCATAAACTATATATTTACTTGTTTATATTTCTCCTGTGTAAGATAAGAAATGTCGTATTATCTCATTTTAGTCGACTGATTAAATATGTCTAGTGAGCATATATTTTGTTTTTATTTAAATGTAACCGATGTTGCAATAATAGATTTAAAAATATATAAAAGGGGCGTGGTCGTGTTTCTAATATATTAGCTTTTACCTACAACTTGGTTAATGTGTTGTCTATAAAGGACGGTAACTCTGTGAAGTTCCTATTCTCACAATCCATTTCTTCGTCAACGCACGTGCAAAGATCAGATTTATACGGACAACTGTAAGCTGAAATATAAGAGTTTAACAAAACATATACGCTATACTAACTTTTAAAACGAGAAACACGGTGATTGAGTGAATATCGCGCTGGTTCAATGACCGGCAGAACAAGAGTAAGCCCTATCGGCGCGGTCCGGACAAAAAAATCACACATGCATGACGTATGCCCGTCTATAGTATCCCGGTTGGCGCAGAAAAGTAAAACTTAATATCCGTATATTTAATGAGCGATGGATTCGAGTTGGAATTAAGAAGTCCAGGCTATAGATATCAGTGTTGTATTATGACCGTGGAACCATGACTCCTGCCTTCTGATGACCTAGATGTTTTAAACCTGCCCCACTTTCAGCAAATGATTGTCTTCGGAAACCGAGATTTGAAATGGTGTTGTTCTACTTACACAATAATTTACCGAACCATGATATGGCGTCGGCAGCTAATACAGCGTTACGTTCGCTTCTTTAGTCTTTACATCTGGATATGATTGGTCAGACATTAATATAAATATACAGAGTAAACTTACGACAGTTATGTTCATCCCAATACGTCATCTTACAATCCAGCATTCCATCACATTCCTGATTATCATCAATGCAATATGAATTACGACATTTAAACTGGCCAGGTAGACATTGGTGATTTGCTGAAATTACAAATTTAATGATCCGTTGTGATTGACTAAAATCAAAAGCAAGCATCATGTGACTAGTTGAAATCAATAGCAATCGTTCGACCCACTGAAATGTTTTATAGACCCAAATCCTAACCCGTGCCAAATTCATCTGCAATGTAAGTGCTTGTTCAGTCATCGACTATAGAGTGCACTATATAATAGTATCTGGTATTGTAGGCATGGATATCACTCTCCATGGGCGGAAGCGGTTGTTAACATTTGTAAATCCTTGTAGATTGTGTAAAAATAAGGACAATAATGACAAAACTTTCTGTCTGAAACCAAACAAGTGTCGACTTTAGCCACATAAATAATGGCCTTCGTCTGGATCCTAGGGAAACGGGGGGTGGGGCGGGATTAACATGAGAATACAATAAAACTTACAGCAGTTGAGTAAATGAGAATAATCAGAACAAACATGTCTGCCACCAGCCTTTCCGTTATAACAATAATTCTCTTGTGGTATACACTGACCGTTAGTACACCTATATTCTCCTGGTTTACATTCTGCTTGGGCTGTGGATTAAACCAAAACTGATATATAAAACATCAAAATATACACTGTTAATTATACATCATGTGTCCCATATTAGGATGTAGCACACAAACAGATTGAATATTACAATATGGAAGTATTTGTTATTCCCGAACTATTTATAGATCTATCTTGTTCTGTTGAATATAGTATTGTTAGTATGAACGTCTGTCATTTACTTGCAAAAGTATCAAGTTAATGGTCGTTTTCTTTGTAAAAGGTAGCCATGCAAAGCGCGGAATACCCACACAGCAGCTTTGTCTAAACTGCAGCTTACCCGAAAGGAGAACTTAGATGTTGATCAAATTTCATAAAGATTTGGCATTCTTGAAGAAATTTAATCTGTTAAAACCTATAAACTTTTTCGAGAAAAGGGTATAACTCGGGAATGGAAGGCTGCAGATTATGAATATCGATAGGCCTCGTTGACCCCATGTTTCGAACCAAATATGAAAAAAGATCCATTAAAAACTAAAGCCTTTACGATGTTCACAAGGTTTTTCCGAAAAGGGGAAATAACTCCGAACGAAAGTCATAGACCGCTGATCCCAATGCTTCCCACCATATTTCAAAGAAATCCGTTAAAACCTATAACTTCAAAATAGAAAGTCACATTAGACTGAATATGATATGGTTTGCCCTCTCATGGCCCCAATGCTTCAAACCAAATTGAAAAAAAATTGTTAAAAACTTTAACGTATATCGCGTTCACAAGGTTTTCGGCAAAAGCGGGATTGTCCCTGAACGATAGGGTTCATTCTCTAATGACCGAAGTTGAAAAGATTTCGATAAAAAATGTAGCGATCACAAGGTTTACAGCAAAGGGAAGATAACAATAGAACGGTAAGGCGTAGAACGCTGATTTGTCTTCTCATGACTAAATTTGAAAAATTTAGTAAGTAGTCTATTTCGCGTTCACAAGGTTTTGGACCCAGGGGGGATAATTCTGAAAGGTTGAATATTGATAGGGTCCGTCGCCTCATGACTACCATGCTTTACACCAAATTTGAAAAGCATGCGTTAAAACCTGTAGCCTCTATCGCGTTCACAGGCCAATTGGTGACGGACCGACGGACAAAGCGAAGCCATAATATGCCCACAAAACAAGGCACTAAGACAAACCACGTAACGAGTCAAACCCCGACACCGAGACTTCAAACAGGACAAGTAAGAAAACGCCTTTCTTTAGAGTATGATCAATCTTTAATCAACGACAGATCATGTGATTTAAGCGCATTTACTGACCACAGGTCAACCCCACGCCACCCAAACCCCCTCCCATTAAATACCAAAGACAATAATAACTTACAGCAATTCAACTCGTCTGAATTATCAGGACAATCATTCCAGTAATCACACCAATAATTGTCTTTAATACATTGACCACTGGCACATTTCTTAAACTTAGCTAAACAACCATAGTTTCCTGTAATATAAACAGTTTCATATGATATATTGTGGTGGTGCTAGCATAGTGTACTCCAACCAGCTTTTCACAAATAAAAATGTACTGGTGCTTCAATTTAGACCAGGCCAGAAATGGTTCCAATGGTATTGCATATGGAACTGTTATGTTTTATTACTTAGGAACAAATACTGATATATCTCTACATCTACATTTATCAAAGAAACATAAGAGGATGCGTGTGAAATATCATTTATTAAATATAATCAAACTGCAATAAAGGTGTGTGTTGGTAACCAATTAAAAGAATCCCATTCTTCTGAAGATCAAATAATCGTTGGGCTAAATCAAACCCCTTCTATCCGCCCAGACACATCTTTAATCGAGCCTCGATTATCAATGTCAGTTGTTGAGAATGTAGTTTGAAACCGACGGTAAAGACAATGGGTTATCTGAGACCAAAAACTTTCTTTTAGACGAAATGAAAAGTTGAGTGTGTCTGACGCGGGGTTGGGGCACGGGTCACGACCATTTGTAGAGGAAATAATGTGTGTGGCGGATACATTACGCAACAAGCTTCGGTTTTGGTACTAAGGTCGTTTTAGGCGAAACAGGGACCACAGAGGGTACATACCACAATGAGCCTCGTCACTTCTATCAAAACAATCCATGTTACCATCACATCTCTTATGTTGTTTTATACACTGATGGTTCATACACTGATATTCATCTACCTCACAACTAGCAAAATCTATAATATACAATTATATTATACTTAGAAAATATATAATATACAAATTGTATTACACTTAGAATGTAGGAAAATATATAATATACATTGATGATTATGATAATAGGCCAATTCAGCTGGAGAAGATCCCCATGAACTGCTAGCCAAATCAACAAATTTACTACTTTGCAAACACCTTTTTAGTCTCAAAGTGTCTGAATGAAACGAACATTAAAACTTACTGCAGTTCTCCTCATCTTCGCCACCCAGACAATCTGCGTAATAATCACATCTGACACTATCAGGCAAACATCTTCCTTCAGGACAAACAAAATGCTTACCAGCATCTTTAAAGTTAGTACAACCATCTTTAATGTCACCTGGAAACAACACATTATTTATATAAGTTGTTTAATTTTAATATTTTCCATGTATTAATAGTATACAACATTACTAAAAGTTTCTTTATTATATGAATTTTACAAATGAGACCTTGTATCCGAAATAGTAAGTATACAATGTCTCGTGCACAACAAATGTCAGTCAGTATTTCGGGATTTCCTCCAGTCCCTGTCAGTTTCCCCATGAGTTGTTCTGTGATCTCGAGTTTGCTAAATACCTGAGAGCGAATAACTATTGAAATAAAATATACCGTGTAATTATCTCTCTCTGTCTTACCCCGAAAAGATTACATGTATTACCGATACTAATATTTTTCATTGAAAATATTAGAAATTGGTTAAATATTATATACTTACTACAGAAATATTCATCCGCTCCAGTGTTGGTATTTTTACAATCGTTATGGCCGTCACACAGATATTCCTTTTTGATACATCTGTGTTGTTTCTTACACATATATCTGTCATTGATTTCACATTCTTCACTGGCTAGAGCTAAATATAAAATCTCACATACATCAAATACTATAAACTATAAAGTAGACCCGGCATTATATTGCTGGGCATTATTTATTTGGGCTACATGTACGTTTCTTACTCCCTAAATTACGTAGATAATTTGTATATTATTCACCAGAAACATTACAGCGCAATCTACCGAATTCAGAATTATTCAGTTAATGTACACATACAGATCCTCCACCATTTCGTATATAGAGTAGATAGTTGGTTGTATTTATTATAGAAGACGACTTTTACTTACTGCAGTTGTTTTCATCTTCGCAGTTTTTACAATCACATTTACCATCACAGATGTTAGCCTCGTCGATACATTGGTTATTGTTACATTTAAACTGTTTAGTGGGACAATCACCACCTATAAATATAAATGCACCACCTAATAAGCTACCGGGTTGCGTTGATTAACTCGAATAATAGAGACTTTTGGCAAGCGGAATTTTCCCATCCGTATCACGTATTCGTATCGTATACGTGATACTTTGCGTCAATGTAGTTTTAGAGTTTTAGCAGATTTTCGCGTCGCGTACGTGTGCGTCGATCAACTGAGCTTAGTTCTATAACAGCATGATGGCAGATATCTACCAAGATCACCATCAGTACTAGTCAAGTGCCTATTAGAGCCGACAATTTCAGCGTCTAAAAGTAGCAAAAAAGACGTTAAAAGGACACGACAATGATATACGGACCTTTTCCGTATGAAAGCTGTTCGATACGTGCTGCCGTATCCGTGTGACGTATCACGTATGAGAAATGCACACACATTGATGACGTCACACGCAAAATCCATACGGATACGCGATACGGACCAGAAATTTACGCTTGTCAAAAGTCTCTAATGCGTATCTCGCAATAACGTTTATATCATTACGTCGGTGGGGAGTCAAAAGGTTGTATGAGGGATTTGCGAAAATGTCCAGGGGAGCCAAAAATCGCATAGAGGTTAAGAATCAAAATTTCATACAGAAACGTCACATCAAAATGTCGTATGTAAAATGACGTATTTCTAAAGATTTTTTTGAATATTTCTGTAAAAAGTGTACGTGTAACCGTTTAAACAGTATGTAGCTAACCGCACGTATCATGCTACACATCTAGTGCACAAATAAGGAGTGAAAGCTAGCTATTTGCCATTTGATACAGCAAAGACGTAACTCGTGATGAATTCACCTTTACCTGCTTCAATTTCACAGATTTCACACAGTAGAGGCCCAACAATAATTTCAATAATATTTGGTTTGATTGTAATGCTTTGGTAAAATACAAAGTTGATTTTTTCAAGGAAATGCGACATTTTCGCTGTTAATATTGATATTTTTTTGTAACTCCATTTTAAAACAAAATCTATAAAACCCTCATTTCATTGGCTTAGAAATACGACAACTGGATCAAAAGATGCGCAAGAAAATTCTCATTCCGATTAAGCAAAAATGTGAAATTCTCAAAATATGCCAGATACGACCTCTTGACTCCCCGCCGACGTAGCATTTCGGCATTACGGTATATAATTACAAATAAAAAAACTCACCACTGCTGCATCAATTTATTTTAGCGCTCATGTAAATTTCAATTTCATTAGTGCAAAATATTTGAGTGTCCAGTATTCTTGAAAAATTTCCATTATTTATCACCCGATAACGTCACTTGACAACCAATTTATGGGTTGTCAGACTTTTTTTTTATATAAATTCATAACAATATTGCTATCGTAAAAATCACCAATAAATAAGACTACAATACGTACATTGAGCCTCGTCCAAATGTGTAAAATGACAATCAACAAAACCATCACACACCCTGGCCCGGTTTACATATAACCCATTCGGACACCGGAAGTGAAGTTCTGAAATAGAGATCAAGATTACAAACAAAGCAGCACAATACTATTTGGTATGTTTGAATGTTTTAATAATGTTAAAACATATCTGATTGCAGGTATGACTGCCCTGAACGCACCACCCCCGATTGATTGGTTGCGAGGCTGTAGTTTCCTTAGTGGGATATTTGAATTTTTATAATCACTTTAATGAGAGGATATTTTTATAGACATTTTAACTAGATTTATATTCTTCTAATGATTGCAATCAGTTCGCGTCATACTAATATATTGGGCCGACGATTTTCACAAATGAACATTAACGATGTACTGGGAAAGTTGACTGGAATTCGTTTGCCAACTAAAATCTCGAGGAAAATGGACTACTTGAAAGATTTTAGAAAACAAAAGCTTGTTATTAGTGGTCGATAAAGGGGAAATAACCCATGACTTCTTATTATCCTTTAGTCTTAATATCAAATAAAATCTATACATCATCGTGGATATGGAATAAAGGAACTTCTGAAATGTTCATTGGCTTTAAGATTCCGCTACATCCTTTGATTTGAACTTAATGCCATATTTAGATGATATATGGAATTGTCACAAAATAAGACGTGGATCAACTAAATCTTGTTTATGAGCAATCGAGAAAAAAATTGGCTCATCAGACGGGTTATTATAGATTGTATTCAATCCCGTAAGGCCATCATTACCTGTATTTATAACAACGATGGTGATTGGTGGATCATTTAGACAATAACTGATTGTCAAGGAATGTAATGTTTTTGAATGACGTCTACATTGGGTCATTACATTAATAAGTGGTTAAAGGGACGCTGTTTCCCTTTTAAAGTGACGATTTAGTTTACCAGATTGTTATGCCATTTTTATTCGAAATTATCTCAGCGGAGAAGAAATTTACTTAAAGCCTTTTATAATTTGGAAAACTGAACTGACACATGGGTTACATATTTCACCTAAATATATCTGACTTAAAACCTGTTCTGTTCTAGTTTGAATTGCTAATTCTACAGTTTTTGTTTAATTCACAGTCTAGGTCTAAAGCCTTAGAAAAGTCGGACCTAAAATACCATTTCCTTTTATTTCCTAATGTTTTGGTATTGTTTCGTTCAAATATCGGTAATAGTATGTTACATATACAATGTTCCATGGCAGTTACTGATGTAACTGTATGGTAATATCTTCATTTGTGTAACTATTTTTCTTTGATCTTAGTGTGGATTGTCTGTTCTTTAGCTAAGCGATGAACATATCTTGGTTAGATTTTAGAGCACGGATGCCCAACTTCAGACACATAGATGATTAGAAGTGTCGCATTTTATAATTTCGTTCACATTAATCTATTGTCATACCAAAAATATGCTTAATGAATCAAACCAGGACAGATTAATTTTGTTCTACAATCGTCCAGTAACTGTTCAATGTACGTCCCAGTTTCTTGTGCTTGGTTATCTTTTGTAAATATTTTCAGTTTCGTACTTTTTGGAAAGTCCGGAATTCCAATTCCAAAATCAAGAAGATACTTCTCGGTCCACGTAGGGAATGGAGTTCGGGTTATTCTGGTCAAGAGTCCAGTTTAACGATTACCGGTCGACTACCACGGCTGCGATTGGATAAGAATACCATTAAACCTTACCACAGTTGTTAGGTTCTTCATCGGAACCATCTTTACAGTCAACTTGTTGATCACATAAATATGACATTGGTATACACTGGGAATTATTACATCTAAACTCTGTAGTGAAACATTCTCTACGCTCTGAAATATATCATATATCATTACTCAAACACTTTCTACACTCTGAAATATATCAACTATAATTACTCTAAACTCTGTTGAAAAACATTCTCTACGCTCTGAAATATATCACATATCATTACTGTTGTAAAACACTCTCTACGCTCTGAAACATATACATCCTTACTCTAAACTCTGCTGTAAAACATTCTCTACGCGCTAAAATATGCCACACAATCATTAACTCTAAACTAATTTAAACTATCATTGTAACATGCTTAAGGGCGAATCTTGCGTTTTGATTGGCCAATTAGACACTGTCGCTTGGACAATAACACTCCTCCGTTTTAGTGATTTCTTTTAAAACGCTAAAATAGCATATTACAATATCGATAAACGCGTCTTAGGTCCTAATGATCTCAGGACATGTCCATTGGACAATAACACCCCTCTAAATGCGAAACAGGAAGTGTTTATCTTCTAAATTTAACGTCTGTAAAATAAGTTTTTAGTTTCTTCTTAACAAATAGCTCTAGACTGGCAAGTGTGTAAATTACACTGGAGACCATTTCATAGTTTTTGAGTTTGTACACTGAAAAACCCGTTGATGTATTATGCAAGTTTTTCTTTAATAAATGGTTTTATGACAATCTGAGACGTTTACTTGGAATCACTTGGATGACTACGAGTTCTGTTTATAACTTAGTGCTATATACCATCTAAAAAGAGATAAGCAATTTCCGGCGAGGTTCCACCATGTCAGTGGTGGAGGGAGGAGGGTGTGGCATGGGACGGGACGAAACCCCGAGGTTCCGTGGAATTCTAAATAAAAGTAGGTCATAGTGCCGCTGTCCGGGCATAATTCCCCTTATAGCACACTATATTACCGAGTATTCCGGACTTCATTAGCCCAGTTGGTACAGAACTGTAGGACGTTAAACCCCATTTCATTTCATTTCATTTCATATAAAGGTAACTGATGGTTCGACATAGTTTCCACATAGTTTTTAAATCTTCATATTTAATATATATTACTAATGACGGCACAATAAAATGTGGACATGGAAGTAATACATATCGAAGTTTTTAACAGACAAACATGGGATGTTACTATATATAAACTGGTAGTTAAATGTCATTGAACGAATATAAAATATAAAAATCTACACCATGTTATCATTTATAGTTAAGTTATGTTATTGATGATAATTGTTTCTGTCGCAACGTAGATAATTCAACATCTGTACTATAAAACAACGAAAGAAGAAAACACAGATTGCAACAAAAGGATTGGTATTTTGAGAAAATTGTTAATTCATCGTGTTTGGTTTGGCATTATCTATCGTTTTGTAACCAGATATCAAGTTAAAGTGGAAGTATGAAGTATAGGCTGAGAGTAGTAAATTTAGAATTAAAGTTTATTTCAGATACTTTACTTACCCCCCCCCCCCCCCTAAAAAAAAACCCCAACCCCAACAACATTTGATTAAATTCTGATAATTAGTAATAGTGTGATAAATAGTTTAATAAATAGTTTAATAAATAGTGTGATAAATAGTTTGACAAATAGTTTGATAAATAGTGTTGAAGATATTTGTTTTTATAACTAGGGATGATAATTTAAATTACGCCATACTTATATTTACAGCGCTAAAAGAGATATGCCATTGTCGATTTCATTATTTTGCTAAAATCGGGTTATACTACGGTGGCTGATTTAGGACATGCAAAAAAAAAAAAAGAAAAAAAAAGAAAAAAAAAGAAAAGAATAATATCTCGAGAGCTCGAGATACTAAGTCGAGCGCTTGGGGTATAGTATATTAAGTCGATCATTTGAGATAATTAAGTCGAGCGCTCGAGATAATACAATCGAACACATCTCAACCGATGTTTTAAGCTGTATAATTTTGTGCATTATTTAATGATACACTTGCAGAATAAAGATAGTCATGTGTTCGTTTTTACAGCCCATCCAAAGACTTAGTTAGTATCTCAATCGCTCGAGTTAGTATCTCAATCGCTCGACTTAGTATCTCGAGCGCTTGACTTAATATCTCGAGCGCTTGATTTAGTATCTCGAGCGCTCGAGATATTCTTTTTTTGCATATCCTTAATTATCCACCGTACTACGTATACTCATGTTGGAAAAAGAAAATTAAAATGTAAAACGGATCAGCATCCGCAGAGAAAACGTCTATTGAAAATAACTTGGCCATTTGTTGATTTCCGAGACAATGTTAGACAATCACACTCACACACCGCAACGTATCTCGAATACACAATAAGTAAACACTATCTGGAGAAGACCTCACTTTAAAGGGGAAATAGCTGTCTAGTAATTTGATAAGAGATAGAGACTATTAGAGAATATTTAGGTAAGCGCATTAAAGGATAACAAGAGATTAGAAACATATGGCGTGTAAGCAAAACTACGACGACTTAACGAAAATCGTTTCTATTGTCGATATCCGATAAAATCCATGGCCACAGTAGAAAGGCTTCGGTTTCCTACATGCTCATGAAACGAATATATGCCATCGTTAGACATAAAGATAGGTTGACAGGCAACGACACATAGGTAATTGAAGGGCATTTAGACAATTTCATACAGATCAGATAATAATGTTCGTCATTTGAGAGTTCACAAGGTTCTACAAACTGAAACAAGGGCCTTAACTCTGGAAGTAATATACAGAAATTATTGTTGAAATTTGACAGGCTTCTTCGTTTTACTAATTTAAATAATGCATATAAACTTCATACAGATCAGGTGGCAAGTTTTATCATTCGAACACTCACAAGGTTCACAAAGTAAAACAAGGGTCATAACTCCAGAAGTAATTGACGGAAATTTCTAAAATTCAATAGACCTCCGTTTCAGAAATGTAAATGATGCATATAAATTTCATACATATCAGATGATAACTTTCATAAATCGAGCATTTGCAAGGTTCAACAAAGTGACACAAGGGCCGTAACTCTAGCAGTAATTATTGTAAATTGCTGAAATTCAATAGGCTTTGTCGTTTCACTAATCTAAATGATGCATATAAATTTCATACAGATGGAATGATAACTTTTGGCGTTAGAGCGTTCAACAAAATGAAACAAGGCCATAACTCTGAAAGTAATTAACGGAAATTGTTGAAATTCAATATATTTTTTCACTTTACTAATTTAAATAATGCATATAAATTTCACAAACATCGGATGATCACTTTTGGCGTTAGAACGTTCACAGTGTTTAACAAAGTGAATTCTGGCAGGTACCCTTTAAAGCTGGAATTAAATTTTATAAAATCTCATCATCGAAATCTTAAAATATGCCTTTTGCGGTTAATATAAGTCATAGATCAATACTTTCTTGGTGAGAGAGTCAACGCGAAAGACAATAATAATAATTGATCTCTTACTACGTCATATTTCACATACTAATAGCTGATAATAAAAAGGATATAAGATGCCCGGCGCAACGATTTAGGTCTACAATCCCATGTAAAAATATAATGTACTTACTACATCGGATTTCATCAGAGTTATCACCACAATCATCCACAAAATTACACTCACTGTATCGAGCTATACAAAAATGGTTGTCACATTTGATGAAATTTTCAGGGCAGATGTGTGTTTCTGAAAATGAAAACAAAAATATTTTAATACTAAACGAGCGGGATTTCAACGCTATAGGAATCCATTGTAAACTACAATATTGTGAAAGCTATTTTATTTACAAAGTTATGACGGATAAAAATTCCATCGATCTATGATGCTTCCCATCGCCATCTTTAATTGTCGCGAACCAAATTGACAAATTCGTTTTAATCCATTGAATCCAACCCTGGCGTACATCAAGCATTGGTATTTCGATTTTGTGTCTTAAATTGTGGGACAAAGATACTATAACAATTGTGGTACTGTCACAAACTCAATGCTCGCGAAGGAATTTTGCTCGAACAACAGGTCTTAAGAGTAACCGGAGAAAACCCACAGAGTTAGACAATCATCACGTACAAACCTAAAAACAGCTTTAATCATTTACAGTTCACTATGGTGCTGTGGGAAGGGGGGGGGGGCTACTCTTTACTTCAACAGTTCTTTTACGTGCACAACTACACTGGACTTTGGTTTTTCGTCCAATCCGAACGACTAGACGCGGTTCCTTGACAGCGCGTCCTTTTCCTGCACAACAGACGAAGGGTACGCCGCTGAAATAGTCCGAGCCACCTTCCTGGCCAACCCGGGACCACCAGGTTAAAAAAGGTAGAAAAAAGACACTGAGCCACTGTGGTCCCCTCTTTCTAGGACACCTGGCAATGCTATCCACGATAAATTGATATTACTATATTTTCTAAACGCGCCAAAAACAACCAGCCCACTGCGCAAAAGTTATATAATTAATGTAAACAGTCTGATAGAAATTTAAGCGAATAAAAAGAAAGTAACTTTTAAAATACGTAGGAACGGTTAACTATTTAATAATACTCGTATTATAAAGCTATTAAAATATGAATCGTACGTAGATTTCACCTACTGATTAAACACAACTTATACACCTGAGCTATTAATTGCGACATTTACCCATTTATCATCATGGTTGAACTAGACAGAAAGTAAATGCTGTTAAACTTCAAAGACTGCAGATAAACTAGGGGGGTTTCGAACTCTCTACACGGTTCAGAAAGACTATAAATCGTTAACTAAAACGGAAAAAAACACAGACGAAATTTCAGTGGTTTACAAACTAAGCTGACACAAATGACGTAATAAATCTGTTCACCCTAAAGATACAAACTGTTTGATTTGATGATTTATTTGGACTAAGAACATATTCTAATAAATTTGCTTCAAATCCTCTGAAATCTTTGTATTCGCTTTTAGAAGCCATATTTGTCACCTAACTTGATTCAGGGAGGGCCAATTAAACAGAATGTATTTGTCATTACTTACTATCCATTTACCATAAATATTAAGGCCTGAGCAAATTCTTGAATTATTTACTGCCAACTTCGTATTCCGCCGTTTAGTCTGTTATACGTTTATACCAACTTCGTATTCCGCCGTTTAGTCTGTTATACGTTTATACCCCTCAACGTTCCCAAAACCACCTAACCATTCAATCAAGAACTAAACACGTGCGTGCTGTATCATAAGACCTGTCATTGCGTCAACTGGCGTGTTTTCGAATGCCCGGTTGTACGTGATAAGTAGTAGGGTCGCCTGTCCAGCCTCGTGGGTTTTCTCCGGGTCCTCCGGTTTCCTCCCACTGCTAAAGACCCCTACGCGCAAGCGAATTATTGAAATAAAATTAAACCATATGTTAGTCCCGAAATGACCTAGTTTGTGTCGAGTGGACGTTAAACCCCATCTCTCTCTCTCTCTCTCTCTCTCATCAAGAAATAACAACCGCTCCCCTAGCCGGGTTGCTAGTTAGTGATACCTTGACATTTTTGCCCAGTGCTTGCTTCATGGGTGTTTTTTGTTTAATCCAGTATTTTTTCTAGTAAGATTAAGCGTCTATACTTTCCATATACCAAATTTACCATACTTTTAGTGAAAATAACCACCCGATAAATACATTCGTGAGAATGTATCTTCAACACGTCCTATAATCAAAGGATGAACTTTTCTACAGACAAAAAACAGTCAAACCAATGTCTGGTAAGTTTTGTTCAATTTAAAGTAACAATGCCGATATTAAAAGAAGGTGGTCCATCGGTTTCGATATTCTAACCCAAAAAAAAAATGGAACATTTTTTATATAAATTCCCGGTGATGCTACCTTTAATCATAGAATGAATTAAAGACGTAATCGATACTACTATTTCAACGCAAGACAAATGGCGATGTTTTAATAATCGGTAAACTTGCAAGTATAATTTGTAACTGAAATTAGCTGGTGATCTTGTTTCTACCCTTACCAATTGGCACTCGTTCTAAATGGTTTCGCCAGTGATCTTTAATTTTGTATGGTGTTCAATGGGAGATGACTAGAAATTTGGTTGATTCTGGTAGCTTTCATCATTATCTTTCCATGCAGTAATATTATAGATTATTAATTTCATTATTTACAGGGTGCGATATCCGACATTTTCTCAAATGTTTGAAATCCCAATTGAAAACATATCTGTTTTTACCATCGTTTGGTTGTATAGAATGCGAAAATATGTATTTTACTTTTGTACGATTCAAAACAACGCAGAAGGGGTAGCTTCTACAATTTTCGGGTGTTCTTATGTATTTATGGTATCTAATGACAACAAATAAACAGGTCATAAAATCGATGATAAATAATCGCTATTTTACTATCTTTTAATCACTAAATATTGATAAGACTAATGCAGAATTAATATAGGGATCTTCAGCCCACTTACACTTTAGATTAGATTGTATACCACAGTTACTTCCAAACTCTGATAAATTGGAATTATTTATAAGGTTAGATGGTGATTTAAATTGGAATTACTGGGCTGTAAATTGTTTTTGTTTTGTTTCATATGTCAGATTAGAATGGCCACCTAAACAATACATTTGTAAAGGTGGACATGTAATCTGGTAATGTGGGAACGATAAAAAAACGAAACAGTAAACTGAATCACGGAAAGACATGTAATATATTGTGTGATGGTGGGGTCGAAAAAAAACCCCAAGCGACCCTCTCTTATTTCATAAGGGAGCCGCGGTGGTTCAGTGAGAAGACCTAGAGATTCGATGGTCGATCCCGGTGTTGGCCGAGAAAATTCCGGCTAGGTTCCGCTGAATAACTAAGGGTCTGACAAGGGACAACGTATAGCCGTTGGGACGAAATACCGAGGTCCCGTGTACACGTGAAAGATCCCTTGACAGTTGGAATTTGATTAAGAGTAGGCCGTAGAACCCCTGTCCGAGCAAAATGTCCCTCATAAACTTTAAACCCCAATTCATTTCATTTCACTTCTTTTTTCATATTATACATTGTGGTAATCGGTAGTTATGTTACTTAGTTATCGAAAAAAGCAGCCACTCTCACTTATTCTATAATATAATGATTGAACGTTGCTGTTTAGAAAGATACTGTGGAGATACTTCGTTTTACAACCCGATCACCATTTTCTAGTCAATGAATGGTTACCAGTAAGATAGTGAAAGGTATAATAAATGTACATGATAAGATATGTGCCAGGGATCAGAAAGCGACCAAATGAGTAGCTAGAACGTTGTTAAAATCGCACATTTTATTAAATGGTATTCTCTCTGATGTGAATGTAAATGCACAGAGCAACTTAATTACTTACCACAGTCTTGTTCATCATTTCCATCTTCGCAATCCGAGAATGTATCACATCTTCTGATAGCATCTATACAATGCGTATTGTTACACTGGAACTCATTCGGTAGACACCCTGTTGGAATAACAATGATTTCTATAAAATATCATATCTCGAAATGCGATACATCGAGTTTTGAGAACACTAAGACAGTGTATATGTTACCACAAAAGTCATTCGGCAAACAACTTATCAAAATATAAATATTATTATCGTAATAATATTATCTCGAAGTCTGATAATTCGAGTTGTAATGGATGTCATGCATGAGGTAGTGTAAGCTAATTTTTCATTTGAACACCTGGTGCCACTTTCCTTTTGAGGAGCTAAAATAATATACATATTTATGTAGTATTGTTGTATAATGTATATATTGGGTATTGTTCTGACCCAACTTGTTGCAATATTGCATACATGACTGGCAATATAACAGTACTACACCACTAATAGCTCTGATGACTGTAAAAGCAGTATTGTACTTCAAAACATGTTAGTCCCAAAATGATAGAACTAGACCGTGCTATCGAGACCGTAAAAAATTCTGTATTTGGACGTATAAAAACATATTACATTAAAGATACATTATGTAAGATTTAGATAAAGAGCTGACCATTCTTGCTATAATATCTCAAAAATAGATAATGTAAAACGAAAATATTGAAAATTTCATTCAAATTACTCCATTCTGAGCCAAGTTATCACTGTTTGTATATTTGACAAGGTGTGTGCATAGTGGTAACCAGGGCACTGGTATATTCGGGACTTAGTATCGCTTTCTCATTTTGAAATTAAATTTTTAAATTGCGAAACTTTCTAGACTTTCTAGTTAAGTTAAAATCTCGAATAGTGCCAATATATAACTTAAAAAGTTTTTATTATTTTGTACCATTTCAAAGAAAGTAATACAGTTAACACCACACTGTTGTTTTGCTCTACATAAGTTTCTAGACTAATTGGTGCTAGAAATGTATTGTTTTGTTTCGCGTAAGATTCTTCTGTTGTAGGGCAGAACTCACCACTTGCATAGATTACAAACCTTTTATGGCAGTGCATGCGTTAGACTATTCGACCTACTTACCGCATATTTCAACGCTCTCATCTCTCCCATTCAAACATTCACTGATGCCATTACAGACAAGAGATTGATCAACACATTCGGCGATCTCCGACTCAAGGTCACACTTAAAGCTGGATTCAAGTGAACAAATCTTCTGTTTTTCTTCATCTTCCATGCTAATCATCTCTACACCTGAAATAATATAAATATTGCAATATAAACTATATGGAAGGCACATTACATAGCCCAATATTCATCAACCACGCGGCTACTTATTCGATTTTAGACAAATCGAATTGGAATATTTGTCATGGAATGAATCATAACTGAGAATAGGTATCAAGTTTTCTCGAAAGATTAAAGCAAGCATGACTACTATTAACAAAATGTTGGATAATTTAGGTCAGTATTTTAGATTTTGAGGCTACTGTAGATTTGACCGCACAACTGAGGGGAAATGTACCTTAAAAGATTAATTCCATCGGGAATACAGTGTGCCTGTTTGTCTTAATGAAGAGGCGAAAAGAACAAAATTATTAGAGTGTAATAATTCATCCAATATTTACCGATATACCGTCCCCGTCCAGACATAACAGCATCTGATATCAAGTTTTATCTTTGAATATTAATAGTTACGTCAACGTTTCTCGTTCTGTCGTATCATCTTGGGACGTTATCATTTATATATCACACCAAGAACACTTTTCGTCTGTGTTCAGTTGTCCTTGATGTCACTCAGACAACCTGGTGGCCATTTTGATGTGGACGTTCTCTGAATATAGGTTTGGAATATCGACTTTTTATCCACTAGCATCGGATCATGATAATGATAGATCAAGGACTAAACTGTCGCGATATTTAGGGTTAAGTAGCCATTGCAGTCGTACATGATGCAGGGTATGGTTACTACTTCTATTCACTGAAGACATTCAGACACGCAACGATATCTAAGCGACAAACCTGGTGAATGCTGAATACTATTCCATCGAGTTTCGGCATCTGGAATCCAAGTCCAAAATACCGCCCAGTTTTTACTATTTGTGGAAAATGAAATGAAATGGGGTTTAACGCCCTACTGTTCTGCTCCTATTCTGGGCTATCGCCTACTCTTATATCGAATTCCAACTGTCAAGGGATCTTTTACGTGCATTCTAATGTATACACAGGACCTCGGTTTTTCGTCTCATCCGAAGGACTAGACAGCTGTCCTTGTCAGGCCCCCCGTCCTGCATCACTGACAAGGGGGAACCGCGCCGGAAAATCTGGATGAACTTTATCGGCCAATGCAGGGATCGAACACCCGACCTCCAGGCTAGCGAGCCAGCGTCTTAACCCCCTAGCCACCGTGGCTCCCACTATTTGTAGAAGGCGATGTCCGATACCATACCTTTGTGGAAGGCGATGTCCGATACCATACCTTTATAGAACACCTGATAATATTAGTAATTATGTTTCCTTTTAACCTCGATCAGTAATTGTCGCAGACGAGAGTTGGTAAGGGTAACATGAGCAAATTGGAAAAGATGGAGGAAAAGCAAAACTTGATATTAATATTTATCTGTCAATCAAAGTTCATCAAGAGGTCAGAAGTCGGCAAATAATTGAAGGCTACGTTTCTAACGTTATCACTGGTTGTTTGTCTAAACCCACCTCCAGGAATTGTGTCTTTATCAGATATAAATATAATCCGTGTCTCTCAAGTGTCTATATAACATCTATATAATATATTTAACAATCGTCTCTGGTTTATATAGAACAAGTCACAGTTGACAGTAAATCCTAATCTCATTTCTACGTTCACACACTGCCAGAGTTAAAGTTTGTTTAGATCAAAATAAGATATTAAATATTTCTTGTTTAGGTCAAAATAAGATTTTGGATATTTCTTTAGGTCAAACTAAGATGTTGAATATTTGTTGTTAAGGTCAAAATAAGGTGTGGGATATTTCTTGTTTAGGTCAAAATAAGGGGTCGGAAAGTTCTTTTATAGGTCAAAATAAATGAAATGAAATGAAACGGGGTTTAACGTCCTACTGTTCTGCTCCTATACTGGGCTAATGAAGACCGGCATACGTCATACAGTGTGCTATGAGGGAAATTTTGCCCGGGCAGCGGCACTATCGCCTACTCTTATATCGAATTCCAACTGCCAGGAGGATCTTTTACGTGCATTCCAATATATACACGGGACCTCGGTTTTTCGTCTCACCCGAAGGACTAGACAGCTGTCCTTGTCAGGCCCTCCGTTCTGCACCACTGACAAGGGGAAACCACGTCGGAAAATCTGGATGAACTTTCTCGGCCAATGCAGGGATAGAACACCCGACCTCCAGGCTAGCGAGCCAGCGTCTTAACCACCTAGCCACCGTGGCTCCCAGGTCAAAATAAGATGTTGTATCTATCTTGTTTGAGTCAAATAAGTTATTGGATCGTGTTGATCTAATATGTTATTTTGATAAGTAAGGAAACAAAATCTATCAGATTAAATCGAAGAAGTCTGTTAGTTTCGTTTTTGATTTAAATGTTCGACAATGCAACAAAAACCCCACCGTTATATTGGGTCTTTTTAAAGATAAACCTACGACTACCCTAATTTTTTAATAAAAGTTTAGTGAAAACCCCAAATGACATGTTTTTTATAATACAGGTGACTAGTGGTTGCCATTTTCGGATATGAAGCTATCGCCCGAACTCTAAATAATAGCAGGTTGAGCTTTGGTGTTCTTCAGATTGACAGCCCCCCTCCTCGTACTGTACCGTAGACAGCTAAAGTAGATTGCTAGAGGGAGCAGATTCCGAAATGGGATATTGCCAAGGGGGTAGCAAACTGTAAGTAGCGGTTTATTGGTAACCGAATCTTAATATTTTGTTTTTAGACCCTAATAACGTCACAGCTTGAGTCTTGGATTACTATTTCGGGTTGTGCATTTTGAAATGATAACAATTAGAAATCGTTGACATTACATACTAAAATGTACAGTTTAATGACCACGCAGAAACAAATGTTCTATAACTATTAGCCCGTTCAGACGCTTATTTTTAAACCAGTTCATAATCGCTGTTTTTTTAAGACAGCATCGTGTTGCGTTCACACGTACTATAAGCCAAACCAGTTTAATTATTCTGACCTCTTCGGTCGGAGGTTAGAGTTAACTACGCATGGGTGGCTTCATATTCTTTATTCGGTTCTCGCACGCTTTCGATAACATTGGCACTGTCTGGCCCCGATATTTTCACAGGAATGTAACTTACTGCGTACTGCGCATGCTCAAAGCAAGCTGGAGCCGGGGTTTTTAAGCCAACCCGTTCAGACGGCTAAGATGAACCAGTTTAAAATAAAAAGCCTTCTCGAAGACAGGTCGCGAGCTGGAGTTTTTAAACTGGTTTATTTGCCCCACCAGTTCAACTTAAGCGTCTGATCAATAAACAATACCGCAAATTAGAGCCATTCAACTTAATATTTATTTCAATTGATTGTACATCGCCATCTCAATACATCTGTGAACAATGGAAATATATGTGACTTAATTGTTTCAGCTATCACCAAGACTAAGACGTTGTCTAACCTAAATTTAATTCTATTCTGCGTTTTTCTCTTCTGATTAGTATCTACATATACTGGCTTGGACTTTTCGTTTCATGATAATACTAAATTAATCTATAACATAATACTACATGTATATGACACACTGACTCTTGTATTTTGGGGGGTTTTCCTATATTTTCCCACTTTTTCTGACCTCGCAGCAGTCTATTCTTCTTGTTATCTGGATTTAAACAGATCTCCTCTCGTGTCGTGTTCAAAGAATTATCAAAGTGCTGAAAATTGACTATCTATCTGTTACTACTCTTTACGTAGACAATACCAATATATAATTTCTTTTCAACGCAACATCCTGAATTCCTGAAGTTACGGATAATCCACGGCAGATTCCATTTGACTTATATCTAACACCTGTGGACGACGACGCTGTCATATTATATCAATAACATATTGTAATAGGACATCTTCATGCGAGAAGCAGTATAACGGACTTTTATTTTGATTCATTTCTAGTTATCAACTCAACAGTTTGTTATAATACCGCTAGCATGCCACATACTCTTACAGCTTATAGGCAATGCTGTTTAGCCATGTCTAGTATTTCTTCGAGATAAACCAGGTCTTGGAGTTTATCGAGGTTCGACTGTAGCTATATGATTGCTACACTGTTAAATATGTCTAGTTATACAAACATCTAAATATAAGATAACCGTAACACTGTCAAGTCTAAACACTTAAATTTCTGTTTTGAAAGATAAGGCGGACGTTAGCTTGTGTTTTAATTTCATTACTGACTGTGTTGACTCTGGAACACAAAATCGTTTACATCTGAACAATGGCGACATTAATGTAATATATTAATATGTGGGTAAGGGCAGTTTATCACAGAGATCTATTTTATTTTGGTGGGAGTTTGAAGAGATCAATGAGAGAGAGGGAGGGAGAGAGAGAGAGAGGGGTGGGGAGGAATGGGATTTAACGTCCACTCGACAGAAAGACTATCAAAGTCTTAATCTTAAATATGTTCTTTCAATGGTCATTAGGATTTTCAGTCAATGAAAAGTCTACGTATAACATTGTTATTTTATTCTTTTCGTGTATGTTTGCTCTCCATAAAACTGTTCAATTCAAACTTATACAACGGGTATTCAGAAATCAACACTGGCGACAACTCATCAATCCTCGATCATCAAAGATATCGGAATGTCACCTACATTGGACGCCTCTACTACTCACTATTCGATCATACAGTGTTAAGAAAATTTCATTTGGCATAAAATGGTTAATTAAACTATGTCTACTGTAGTGATTAACCCAATCTGAACAACTCGGTTATTTCCTTCACTTCCACTTGACAGAAAACCCACGGTGTGGCGAAAGTAATTAATACAATAACACCCCATATCTACAATAACACCATGATCGAGACTTAATTAATAGTTATCCAGACGTGAATGTCACAACTCTCTCGTGTCTACGCACATTATAAACTGGATTGAGCCAATCATTTTACCTTCAAGATACAATCTCGCTGTTTCTGTACATTATTGAGATACTTGGGTTTACTTCGCTTTGCGTAATGATAATTCTAAGAAAGACTTTTCCGTTATTCTTACTCAGGGATGAATGGTTACAATTTAAATGTATT